AAGTGTGTGATGACGAGCGTCACAAGTGCGGCAATTCCGCGAGGAGAGACAAGAAGCGACGACATGTCCACTAGCCAGACAATTTAGACAGATGCGATTACGTTTGGCGATTTCGTAACGATCTTGGGGTTGCTTTTCGTTGAAAGCAGGGCAACTAATTAGGCTATGGTTTCGAGAACATAAGAGGCATTTGAGAGGAGGTTTTGAACGAGACTGCGACGACGAAGTTGCGACCAGAGAGGTCTTGCTAGGAGATTTGGTAAAAGTACCAGACGACGACAATGACAATTTTTGCGGTTTGCCAACCGATTCGAAACTACGAGGATTTTTGCTATTAGATTCAGTCACGTTCAACAAAAGTGGTGCCTGTAAGGCTTCTAACGACAAACAATGTTCGCTCAACAAAGGCTCTATGCCTGAAAATGTAGGAATTTTCTTTTTATCTAAACGAATTTCAATCTCTTTGCGCGTGGCAGAGTCGAGTTTGTGAATAATGACATTAAAGAGGACAAAGTCCCAAGTGTCGGCAAGGTTCAACAATTTGAGAGCCTCACAGTTCTCACGAACAGTGTTCAATAATTTCCGCAAGCTCGAGGCGGATTCGACGGGTATAACCGGGATATTTTGGATTTCATTCCAATACAAAGTGGCTAACAATCGATTATTATTGTACCTATCTAACAAGGCTTGAAAGGCGATTTTATAATTAAGTTTCAAGTCATCCGAAATGGGAATTGACTTAACTAAATTAAGAGGTTCGCCCGAAAGGCTACCTGCCAAAAGGTGAAATTTTTCCACATCTGCGTATGGTTTTTCGTCGACTAATTTAACAAATAAATCCCTAAAGTGGGGCCAATTACGAATGTTGCCATCGAATTTAGGCAAAGCTATTTTTTGCAAGCGATCTACGAAATGTTTTTGTTCCTCATCGACCGATTGCCGAAGAGGATTACTACTATTTGGTACACGCGAAATTGGGAACAATTCTAAATACACAGTTTTTATTTCCACATATTTAGCGAGAAAATCTACACCTACATCGATTTCTTGTTGCAAATTGTCAGGTTTATCTGCTAACAACGATACTATTTCTACTTGATTAAGGTCAAAGGTCTCTTTGCAAGATTCGACCTGTTGAAACCACGTACCTATTAAACATATTTTTAATCGATAAATCACCGCGCGCCTGTTGAGATAAGGCGTGGATGGTATTAAGCGTGGTTAACGAAATATTTCTAAAGGCTTGGAATTGTTTTAATTTGGCAGCCATTATAACGACAAAATAAAATGCAAATGCAACGATTTAATAAGGATAAATTTGTGTACAAGAGGTGCAATAGCGCGTGATAAAAAAGGGCAACACTTGGAAAACCCAATAAGTACGATAACTAAGAGATAACGAAAGCAAATTTTATTACAAATGTTAAAACTCAGCACGACGTACGACATGAAGGGCAAATATTTCATTCAAATACAATGCTATGAAATGCGAATAAACTATCAATGCAAATTTCGGAATCGTTAATTGTAACTTCCGCGACAATCGAATGTAAATTTTGAATAATTCTTTCAAACCCTTCACGTTAAGGCATAGGAAGATTTTTCTAACGAAACGAATCCGGCTCGAAGGACCAAAAATTATGTACCGTACAAGGGGGCTTCGATAACAAAGAATTTGATTGTAAGCGGACTGTAATTATGAATTACCTACTTCCAAGGCCTTGTTTATGCTGGGAATGAAAGAATATAGACACATAAATAAACGTGTTTATTATCAAAAATACAAAGTAAATGAATTTCTATTGAACATGGTTGACGTAGGCACGGCGGCTACTAGAATATGATAAAGTTACGAAGGATAATGTAAACAAAGGAACTTACGGGTTGTTTCGAAGTCCATTAACAACGAAGGCGATGTTGCAATGGCGAAGATTGCTCTATTCTACGAAGTTGTCGATTTTGTTACAACGAAATCTTCTTATTGATGTGCGGTGCTTTGACGTTCTGCTTGTTAATAACGATGTTGCGAATTACCCGGCGACATCTTGACTCGTTGTGGATCGATCGAGATCTATATGCGAACGACGAAGGCTAATCGGCCATTGATTAACGGCGACTTCTCAACGTAGTTGAGTCGATGGCTTCTAAGCGAAGAATCGGACGAATTCTGCGCGACGAGTACACATATTGCGCTTCTGCGGCTCATGCGCGCACACGTAACAAATAGGAATATATACAGGCAAGGCAAAACGGTTATGTACAGGGTATTTTCATTAAATGAAAAACGAAAGGATATTTTATTCTAGTTTGGGGACGCAACACATTGATTAATTAAATAAACAAGTACCTACAAAAAGGGATGTTTTGTCTTTCAAACTGGGGGACTACAAGAGCGTTCCCAATTTTTTTATACATAGTGGAACCGTAAAACAATCTTTTCCAATAATTGTCCCGATCATTTTTGCAAATCAATGGACTGTGGAATTTTTATTAGTTAACTAACAAATCGAATGGCTTCCGAAATTTAACAAGAAAAGTAACTGTATAATCGACCCTTGGCACTCGGATTAATAAAAATCATTCATTTTGGTGAAATAGAAGCATGAAAAAAGTTCACGCTGTAAAGAATCGATCGGTGCGACCCGATTTGCAAAATCATTTTTGGTTATTTTGAAAACTGGCTTCAAAGTCAAAAGCGGATTTCTCGTGAACTATTAATCGGATTTGGACATATTTTTTTTTAATGTACGACTTTCCGAGAGCTTTACATTCGCCTATTATAGAATTATATCATTTTGTTATATTTCGGGAGTTATTCCATTTGTTAACTAAGAAAATTCTTCGGATTTTGAAAAAAAAATTGCACAGTCCGTCGATTTGCAGGAATCATCGGGACAATTATTGGAGAAGATTGTTTTAGGGTTATAATATGAAAAAAAAATTGAAAACACCCCAGTTTGAAAGACAAAGCATCTCTTTTTCTACTTGTTTATTTAATTAATCAATGAGTATGAAACCTACGGTGATCTGGTTTGTCATATTGTTTTGTTATCAAAAGAAGTTACTAAATACGGATTTTCAAAAAGATCGGATGAACTTTACTTAGTAATAACAAAGTGTTAATTTTAGAAATTACTGTTTTTACATTTTTCCCTAAAAAACAATTGAAAACAGTTGAAAATGAGCGTTCCGGACCAATTGTATTTTATAGAAAATTTTATTCTAAACAAGTTCATTTCTATTCATTTTTTCACTCAGAGCAATAGTTAACCAGATATTGGCAGTCAAATGTGAAAAAACACGACATTTTCCCGTTTTTTCTTCGTTTTTTGTTTATAACAATATGATCCGGGCGTTTCTGGCCGGGGGACTATGATATTCCGATTCAGCAGATTTTTTTACATAGAATAGGCTTGGTTTCGTTCAGTGCAATGACTACATCCAGTTTATACTACTTTTAGAGCTAATTTGACTGGACTAAATGCATAGTAACCGTCAGAAATAATCGCCAGCCACCTGCGTAAAATGGCATGTTTATATTTTTTAACTAAAATTCTAATTTTTTACCTGTAAAAACTGTTTAATGTATAAATTTAACGAAAGGTTAGAACATTAACATATTGCAAATAAAATTGTTATAAAAAAAATTACCGTATACTTAAAATATAAAAAAAAATTAAATGCTGCCTTTTGCGCTAAAGTGCCTAAAATACAAGCCGCATTTCCCTGCTCAACAGCTAAACTGAATCTTTGTTTTAAAAATATAAAACGTTTTTCTTGAGGTTTTTCAAAAATTTTTTTTACAGATTTCTGAAGCAATTTTTTTGCAGATGGTCCCCAGCACCAAGTGTTTCAATACCGAAAGGGTAGAAAATAAAACGATCTAGTAGATTACCATATTTTAGCATCTTTTTTTTTCTGCGGATTCTGCAGCGGGTCCAGCAGCTGACGTCGATGAAACAATGTTGCTTTGGCTAACGGTATCTACACATGTTACGTCCCATATTAATTGTCGCCCGTTTTTCTATGGTCCGTATGTCATTCCATCTGGGCGTTTCCCGTCATTCCGTGAACAACTAGGGGGTTCCAATAATGATGGAATTCCTGCACTTTTTAAAGCTAGTTGTATAATATTGTTTAACGAAGTGTGTCGGCTCGAGCGACCTGAAGCCATTTTTTTGCAGGATAAACCGTGATAACCCCATTCTACTTCAGTTCCACAATGACAATAGTGAGGTTCACATAGAATTGCGCTAAGTCGAAGTCCAATTGCAATTCGAAAAGTGTCGTTGTCTAAAAGTGTTCCTAAATTGTTTGCTGGTAGTGCATCCAAAAATGCTCCAGATTCCGCAGAACTTCCTGACAATAAACGTGCTTTTTGTAGAGGATTTCCTTGAGATCGCGTTATCAAATCCCAGCTCTTTTGTAGTTTAGGCTCAAGGTTTAGGCTCAAGGTGTAACAACATTTGCATTTTCTTTCCATAAGTTTAATCCTTATTCCAAGTATGATTCCATATTGAACATATTATTCTAGTTAATTCGTTAAGAAGATCGACCAACGAAATTAACCGATGCCAAAAAGGCAGGAACAACTAGTTCTTCGGCAGATCGAGTTCCCAAACCTGAAAGTTTTATTGGCGGCGTTACAATTTTCCTATTTTCAGGGTTCATTTTTACATTAGTAAAGTAGGACATTAAACATCGAAGGCACCACAGGCGTTAATAGAAATAACGCCTACAGCCGATAGTATCATGAAATATAGTACAACAACGCAGTTTGGTGACCGTTCCGACAGTAATGGTATAATAGCAAAGATCAAATCGAATTTTTTCGATGACACGATAAACAGTTGGACGGATGTAAAAATCTGTTAATCGCGTGTCTGTATGGGCTATTAAAATCGAATCAAAAGCGAATTACCAAAATGATGTTCAGAGACTGAGTCACTTCAAAAAATGCTGAATTGCTGCTCGCAATTCGAAAAGTGTCGTTGTCTAAAAGTGTTCCTAAATTGTTTGCTGGTAGTGCATCCAAAAATGCTCCAGATTCCGCAGAACTTCCTGACAATAAACGTGCTTTTTGTAGAGGATTTCCTTGAGATCGCGTTATCAAATCCCAGCTCTTTTGTAGTTTAGGCTCAAGGTTTAGGCTCAAGGTGTAACAACATTTGCATTTTCTTTCCATAAGTTTAATCCTTATTCCAAGTATGATTCCATATTGAACATATTATTCTAGTTAATTCGTTAAGAAGATCGACCAACGAAATTAACCGATGCCAAAAAGGCAGGAACAACTAGTTCTTCGGCAGATCGAGTTCCCAAACCTGAAAGTTTTATTGGCGGCGTTACAATTTTCCTATTTTCAGGGTTCATTTTTACATTAGTAAAGTAGGACATTAAACATCGAAGGCACCACAGGCGTTAATAGAAATAACGCCTACAGCCGATAGTATCATGAAATATAGTACAACAACGCAGTTTGGTGACCGTTCCGACAGTAATGGTATAATAGCAAAGATCAAATCGAATTTTTTCGATGACACGATAAACAGTTGGACGGATGTAAAAATCTGTTAATCGCGTGTCTGTATGGGCTATTAAAATCGAATCAAAAGCGAATTACCAAAATGATGTTCAGAGACTGAGTCACTTCAAAAAATGCTGTTGCTGCTCGCGCTTTTCCTCCACGTGAACGCGTTTTATGTAAGGGAAATTACTTTCAAAAACACCACTAACTAGATCTCTTTAAGCAAAATGCGTACGACGTTATTCCAGAACGTATCGAAGTCGAATATTACGATTCTACCTTTGCGAACGTTTCCTGCACCAACTACAAGTATAACCGAACAACGCGTACGTTTATCTTCGCGGTAACGTTCAAGATTGATGTATCTGAAGGAGATATGGTAAGAACTGACCTACCCTTAGTGCTGTACAGAATAATTTTTAGGTGACGATAACGGGATACAAATGGCTGAGTAACCGATATCGCCTGGACATTTTGCAATTCAATATGACAGCCAAAGATGCTCTTAGCTTCAAGTACTTTGATATAAATCGCATGATACATTCCTGTACGACACCTCCCGTCGAATGGCCATTAAAAACGGGGGTAAGTTTTAATTAGGCGTGACCACTATTTTTGTAACGGTCGATGTAGGTGAAATATACATTAAGAGATTGGGTGCCTGACAGTACTAAGTTTCCTCCCGGCATCCCAGAAGGAAGGTGGAAAATAGCGATCAGGTTTTTCACGGACTACGGGAAACACTGTTTCTCTATGAACTGGTACTGCGCCATCAAATACAAGCTTAGAATGGAATGAAAGTAGTGCGATAACTGCGTAATATGCGTTGTAACTATTGCTGATATCTTTAGATACAAGTAGAGCAGTAAATTCTAGTATTTTATTTCCATTTCATTTTAAATGAAAATGACGGCTGCACACACCTTTGAATCCTGGAAACCGCACGATATTCAAAGAAAAAAGAGGTCTTATCAACAGGCACCCTTCCACTGACGAAGAATGCACCATGTTCCGCACGAGGGAGCAGGTCGGCATGCGAGGGGTCGGATTCTGCCAGCAAAAGTTTATAGGTTTTGAATTCACGCGCGATACAAGTTGTAATTACCGTGTTGTTTTCCTTTTAATTTTCACAAAAGGTTCCGCCAAATATGGATTTACCGGCTTTATGATTCAGTGGTAGAGCGTTGGACTATAAATTCGGAGGTCGGGTGTTCGAACCTGTGATGAGGTAAATTTTTCATCTGTGGCAGAGATGGGAATTTCTTTAGATCACTTTCAAGCATTCTGTCGGCTACTCCGAGGTTTTCCTGCAGTTTTTCCTAATTTTTAAGGTAAATACCGGAGTAGTATAGAACAACTTAAGACCTTCTGCAGAGGCAACTCTAAAAAGTAATAAACGGGTCACTCTGTAATTGGGCGCAAGCCTGTTGAGGGCCCAGAACAAGAGAGGGATAATAAATAAATAAAAAATAAGTGATTTCAATCGCGTAGTGAAGTAGCGGTAATGAAAATTGCATTAGTAACAAAGGTTGGGTTATCTGCAGGTTTCATTTTATGTTAAAACGGAAGTTGGTCTAATTCGTAGCAAGGCCGTTTATTTTCCTACTCAAATAAACAATTCCGAGCGTTTTTTCAAACTAAACCGCGAGTAAATAAACTGGCAATAGAACTCATTGTGATTTTCTTTTTTCGGATCACTAACAGTAGCGACTTGTTAAAATCAAGTTCCTCAAAGTTGAATGACGTATTGGTGCGATAAATAAAATTTTTTTTTCTATTTCGGTGTCACAATGATGATTTTGTACAACTGTTTTCGGTGAAAACAGTTGCACAAAGACAGTGATTATAGTAGTTTTTTTTTGGTAACTCATCTCTTAAGTTGGCAGTTACTAGTTAGTACAAGTAGGTACTTCGTTGGGTACTTCCATGTTTGAACTTCAAAATCAGTCTTACTACGCTGCCAACCTAAAACTTAACGGCATAAAAAGTGTTCCCAACATAAAACATGTTAGTTCTAATGTTCCCTATAGTTTCTGATAATGATTTTTTTAAATTAAATTAAAGCACCGAAATAGAAAAAATAGTATGAAAAACGCGTGTTACAATGCTTTATTGTAATACTCCTATCTTGCGGACACTCGTGGCTACGCTTCGCGTCGCCACTCGTGCCACAAGATAGTCGTATTACAATAGGTCGCATTGTAACACTTGTCTTTCAATATACTATTTTCTATTTCGGTGTCACAATGATGATTTTGTACAACTGTTTTCGGCCGAAAACAGTTGTACAAAGACAGTGATTATAGTCGTTTTTTTTGGTAACTCATCTCTTAAGTTGGCAGTTACTAGTTAGTACAAGTAGGTACTTCGTTGGGTACTTCCATGTTTAAACTTCAAAATGTCAGTCTTACTACGCTGCCAACCTAAAACTTAACGGCATAAAAAGTGTTCCCAACATAAAACATATTAGTTCTAATGTTTCCTATAGTTTCTGATAATGATTTTTTTAATTAAATTAAAGCACCGAAATAGAAAAAATAGTATGAAAAACGCGTGTTACAATGCTTTATTGTAATACTCCTATACCTAGTCGTATTACAATAGGTCGCATTGTAACACTTGTCTTTCAATATACTATTATCCAACGTCATATGGCACAGAATTTAAAAACAATTAATCCTACTTAATTCCTTTGGTGGGAACTTTGGTTTTAGCATTTAGAGATAGGTGTATATTTTGAACAGTGGAATGTGTCAGTCATTTGTTATGTAATAAAAATGAATTTCGGATAAGGATCAAAAATGTAGAATTGACACATGATCACGAGACAGGCATTACATTTTTTTCAATTTTTGTATGAATCAAACCAACGATACAAAATCGTTTGCTCCTTATCCAGCTCTTCATTATTGCTATTTCCGTAGCTCCTCTAGATAACTTGTAACGTTAATTAAATCCTTGTATGTCTTATGTGTTGCCTATAGTCTTGTTTACTTATTTATTGTTTGTACTTGACTTATTGGGATCTGATATTTTCTTCTCTTCCTGTCACATTGTTGAAACTTGATTTTTCTTCTTGTACATTTCCTGGTTTCGGCCATTCTGTCTTCTGATAGCTTCGTGTGAGCATGGTACGATTCCAGTAGCCACTCTAAAAAGCCATTGCAAATCTCAAATTTTGAGGATATATGAGTGCACTGTTGAATAAGTTCTTACCTAAGTTATTGAGGTATTTTGGAGTACGGTATTGAAGAGCATCGCTTCGGCGGACACAAAATCTTACAAACCGCTGCCGAAGCGAAATTCGCATTAGGATAGGGCCAATTTGACAAATGTGCGTCTGCTGCATGAAATTAGCAGACCCTTTTTAAAACGTTTGAAGCTGGTACACTTTGAGCAGTAACCTTTATATTGGCGGCACTAACGAGCACTAATACTTACCGGCCGAATAAAGTAGAAAATCAAACGGATTTAGTTCCTTGGTCTACTGGCGTAAAGTTGGCAGGTTCCAATAAGTCAAGTTTAATTTTGAGGTGGTTTGGTACCTTTTTGACGCGGATCCCTTGCAGCACTAACGTTCGCATGGGAAGCACTAACGAGCACTAACGAGCCGCTTCAAATTCGCATTAGGACAGAGCCAATTTGACAAATGTGGGTCTGCTGCATGAAGTTAGCAGACCCCTTTTTACAACTTTTTGAGCTGTTACACTTTGAGCACTAACGTTTATATTGGCGGTACTAACGAGCACTAACGCTGCTAGTTTAACTAGTGTAAAGATTGAATCGATTTTCTCAAATGGGTCTGCTGGCATGAAGTTAGCAGGCCCACAAATATTTTTTAAAAATAGTAAGTTTCCCTTTGTGCACTAACGATTTCTTCAGCGGCACTAACGTGCACTAACGGAGCACTAACGATATGAGTAAGCAGAACCATGGTCTGTTGTAGTAGGCCTGCCAAGTTCATGGACATTTCAAGGTGGCGTGTCTAAAATAGATGATGGGTTGGAGATATTGTTGAAAAGATCGCGGTCCAACCGGCGAAATACCTCGGGGGCAACTGCCGAAATACCCCAGTAAATATGACCTCGCACACCGTGCCAACTACCGAAATTAGGACCGAATTTTTCCACGGTCCTCATAATTGACCCACGCCCAACTTATTGTTGTGGTACATTTTGGTCTCTGCTATGTGGTCGTTCTGATGGAGTTAAAGTAAGGTGTGATGTGGGTTACCGTAATTTGTTCATTTTAGTGGGGAGTAATATTTCACCTCGTGGTTGTGTTTTAAACGTCTCAAACATGGTTCTTTAGGCAGTGCTCAGAGCTGTTTGCTGTAGTAGCACAATCAGATTTGGGTGTTCCTCTAGCTGTGCCTGGATATTGGATCGTCTTGCTGATTACTTTTCTTTGATCCCAATTCTCCTAAAACTCTCTAACACACACATTTTTGAAGGCTGGAAGCTGCATGACGTTCTAGGAAAAAGAATCCTCTGAACATGTGATAAAGATAGCACCATGTCTCACACGAGGGAGCTGGTCCCAGTCCGAGGGGTCGGATTTTAGCTATTTAATATTTTGATAAATTCAAAACACAAAATATATGGAAAAAATATAAATATACTTACAATTCAGTCGGTGCTGGGCGCCCACTTACAATGCACGGGGGGGAATAAGGAGATCAAGGGTTACAATAAGGAAGGGTTGAATTCGTCCAGCACAACCGAGTTTACAAAAAAAAAAAAAAAAATGGATTGATTTTCAAACTTGGAAAACTATATTACTTCAAAACAAACACGATTCGATGCAGCTTTTCGAATGTGGGAAATTTTTCCTTCTTTGCCCCACTCTTCGCATTCAAATTGTATTAACATTAATAAAGCTCCCAAAAAATAATACGGCGTTAACATTACCCCCGGGATGAAGTACGGTTTCGAGCTTCAGGATGCCAAAGAGAACACAAAAAATAATTGTTATTATTCTACCAATATTTAACTAACAAACCTGAACAAAAAATAATTGTTGCTATTTTAACAACGTTTAATTAACAAATCAAATTCTAAGAGAAAGATCAACTAAAAGTAATTTTATTTTAAAGAAAACTGACAAACATTTATTGCGTGGGTAAAGGACATACCTTAATTACTGGCCGGCGGTAAACACCAGTTTTGGTTCGAACATGGAGAACTCTGACCACTTGGTCAGTTCCTGGGTAAGTTTTTTCTATAATGCCTAAAGGCCAAGATAATGGAGGAACATTTGGCTGATTTAATAGGACAACAGTCCCTATTTCAATAGGATTCGTTTCAGTATTCCAGCGATATCGAGTTTGCATTTCAGTAAGGCATTCTAACCGCCACCTCTTCCAAAAGTCTTGTATCATACGATCAAGTAGCTGAAATCTGTTTAAGCGATTAATATTATGATTAGTATAATCGACGGTGGGGAAGTGGTTTATCGGGTCCATGGTTAAGAAATGAGCAGGCGTCAGACAGAGTGGATCAGCAGGATCTGAACTTAGTATCACACAGAGAGGCCGTGAATTTAGTACGCACTCAATTTGTATTAACAAAGTATTAAACTCTTCGTAAGTTAATAATTGGTCGCGTAAGATTTTGTATAGATGACTTTTGACAGATCGCACGCCCGCTTCCCACAACCCTCCCATGTGAGGAGCTCCAGGAGGTATTAGTTTCCATTGTATTCCACGGTTAGCTAATTCGTTTCCTATGGATTTGTTATATTCAGGAGAATATATGACTTTATACAATTCATCTATGGATGTCCTTGCACCAATGAAATTGGTAGGTACCGTGGTCGGAGTTAATATCTGAAACTACTCTTCGCCTACTAATAAATCGCTTGAAGGCTTGCAAAAAGTTTTCCGTGGATAAGCTACTAACTAATTCTAAATGGACCGCTTTAGTCGTCAGACATACAAACAAGCAAATATAGGCTTTA